GTATCTGACAATTCAATCTCAAATGTTAGTGAGTTCTTGAATCGTAGAAATAATCATGTTTTCTGCTCAGCTCAAAGAGAGCGCATGTCCGCTGACCTTAAAGGCACCTCAGCATATGCTGCATTACAGCAGTGTTTTGTCACCTTCAGATGGAGCACATCAAAGCACATCCTTTCAACTCGGCTGAAGCTCTGATGAATTTTACAGCAAGCATCCAGAGCAAAAAAAAAGGGGGGGGGGGATGACTTCTTATATAAACAGCTTGATAGTACGTTTTGGAAATCAAGCAACAAGATCATTCTTATTTGTCAGACAAGCTACATTATGACATTCAGAACGGAAGAGCACAGCCATCTTCTGTCTGCTTCCTAGTGGCACTGTGGTTGCCGCTGGTAGCTGATTTGTCATAGTTTCCCCCTTTTGCTTGCACTGCTATTTGGCCTAACCGTGATAAATAGCATGGCTCATTCACAGTCTTTGCACTTTCCCTGCTCATGTTGGTCTGACCAGGTGAATGCCAATCTTGACACAAGCTAAGTGTCAAACTGGAACAATTGCATGAACTAAACACTTGCTATGTGCATCATCTGATCTGATTTCACCCTAAAATTATAAAAATCCACCCAGTGGTTTTTTGTTAATCTACTAAAATCTTTACCCCTTTCTCAAATTTAGCTGATCTCAGATGCCTATCTGTGTGACACAGACAGGCCCCTCCCACGATAGTTTGATTGACAGTAGCATTTCAGCACAGACTGGACTGGCGTCTTACCTTAGACCCACCCTGAGTGAGCTGTCATCAGTCCGCCATTGTTTCACTGCCGAAGCAGATGTAGACAAGAATGACTCCTAAGCGATTGATGTGTTCTGTTGTTGGATGTAATAATGAACATTAGCAGTTGTCATTTACTCCCGACATCTGAGCTGCTGAAGACGCAGTGTATTATGTTTGTTTTTGAAGAGAATGCGCCCCCGATCTACATAAATGCGTCTATGTTTGTGCGAATCATTTGTGATCCAGCTTCACCTACAGAAGAAGTGAGTGTAAGGTTTTTTAAACGAATCTTTGCAAATCGCCTTTCCTAATAATGTGCTAATTAGCTAGTTTCACGATGAATGCAGCTAAAGTAAACAGTCTCTCTGAGAGCAGCTCGGAAGAGAGGGGCGGGGTCAGCAGAGCTCATTAACATTTAAAGGAAAATGCTACAAATCTGCATGCTCTGAAAAGAGCTGTTTTTGACAGGGTAAAAAGGTGTTTTTTTACACTACCATTGAGAAATTTTAACCAAACTATGTTACAGACTTTTCATTAAGACCCTAAAGAATCATATCAACTTGTGGAAAATGGGCATCCTATGACCCCTTTAAGAATAAACCTTGCTTTTTTGGGCTATAAAAATCAATTTTAATGGTTTATTCAAGCCAAATTTGTAGTCCAAGCAGCCAAATATGGTATATAAATGATTCAAATCTATTTCCTGTGGTCTGAATTTGGATTTCAAGTTGTTTTTCGTCATTCATGAATCGACTTGCATGTAATATCATGCAAAAGTATTAAAAATCAGACTGAAAACAAACTGCACATCTTTTTCATTTTCCAGTCCACAGCAAACGAGATGCCACCGGGAGAATAAGACAAGGTAATCTTTAAGGAGAAGTAAACAAGACATCTATAAACATGTCCCACTATGGCTTTATTAGTACCTGTGAAATACGGGCTTGCAGAGGCACAAAGCAGAAAGCCATTAAACTGCTCAGGAAGGCCACGAGAGCTCGGCAAAGCCCATATACATAAACTGACACGTGGATAGGACAGCCTACGTCTCTCTTTCTCTGTCATTCCGAGCCATACAAGTTGACTTTCTCAGGCATCCTGCTGGCCCTGAGCCAAGTGGAGGCATAATTGATCAGACTTTCTGTGCCTATATATATATATATATATATACAGTAGGTACGGAAAGTATTCAGACCCCCTTAAATTTTTCACTCTTTGTTATATTGCAGCCATTTGCTAAAATCATTTAAGTTATTTTTTTTCCTCATTAATGTACACACAGCACCCCATATTGACAGAAAAACACAGAATTGTTGACATTTTTGCAGATTTATTAAAAAAGAAAAACTGAAATATCACATGGTCCTAAGTATTCAGACCCTTTGCTGTGACACTCATATATTTAACTCAGGTGCTGTCCATTTCTTCTGATCATCCTTGAGATGGTTCTACACCTTCATTTGAGTCCAGCTGTGTTTGATTATACTGATTGGACTTGATTAGGAAAGACACACACCTGTCTATATAAGACCTTACAGCTCACAGTGCATGTCAGAGCAAATGAGAATCATAAGGTCAAAGGAACTGCCTGAAGAGCTCAGAGACAGAATTGTGGCAAGGCACAGATCTGGCCAAGGCTACAAAAAAAATTCTGCTGCTCTCCAGAGATGCTCACTTGGGTTTAAGTCAGGGCTCTGGCTGGGCCATTCAAGAACAGTCACATAGTTGTTGTGAAGCCACTCCTTCGTTATTTTTGCTGTGTGCTTAGGGTCATTGTCTTGTTTGAAGGTAAACCTTCGGCCCAGTCTGAGGTCCTGAGCATTCTGGAGAAGGTTTTCGTCCAGGATATCCCTGTACTTGGCTGCATTCATCTTTCCCTCGATTGCAACCAGTCTTCCTGTCCCTGCAGCTGAAAAACACCCCTGCTATAAAAATTCTGCTGCACTTAAGGTTCCCAAGAGCACAGTGGCCTCCATTCCTTAAATGGAAGACGTTTGGGACGACCAGAACCCTTCCTAGAGCTGGCCGTCCGGCCAAACTGAGCTATCGGGGGAGAAGAGCCTTGGTGAGAGATGGAGAGACCTAAAAATGGCTGTTCACCAACGTTTACCATCCAACCTGACAGAACTGGAGAGGATCTGCAAGGAGGAATGGCAGAGGATCCCCAAATCCAGGTGTGAAAAACTTGTTGCATCTTTCCCAAAAAGACTCATGGCTGTATTAGATCAAAAGGGTGCTTCTACTAAATACTGAGCAAAGGGTCTGAATACTTAGGACCATGTGATATTTCAGTTTTTCTTTTTTTAATAAATCTGCAAAAATGTCAACAATTCTGTGTTTTTCTGTCAATATGGGGTGCTGTGTGTGGAAAAATGAGGAAAATTAATGAGGAAAAAAAATTAACTTAAATGATTTTAGCAAATGGCTGCAATATAACAAAGAGTGAAAAATTTAAGGGGGTCTGAATACTTTCCGTACCCACTGTATATATATAATAGTGCTTTAATAAAATGGGATTTCCTCCAGTACTCGATCTTCCTTAGTTAAAAACAAGAGTGCAAACTCCATGATCTCTGAATCTTAAAGGGATAGGTTCAGCCATAATTACAATAATTTCATAATTTACTCATTCTTACATAGTTCCAAACCCATATGACTTTCTTTCTTCTTTAAAATACAAAAGAAGATATTTTTATGAATGTTAATGCTGCTCTTTTCCATGCAATAACTATGAATGGAGGTGACAAGCTTCAAGGAGGTTTCGAAAACACCATAAAGAGACTTGTGCACTGTATTTTAAGTTTTCTGAAGACATTTCAATATTTTGTGAAGAACAGACCAATAAATAATTGTGCACATGGCAATGTCTAATTTGTCATTCATCGATGGCTCATTCATCCAATCTGTTGATTCATTCTTCAATCATTCATTTGATACATTTTCCAGATTTATGAATCTTTTTAATTAAAATTTTGATTCATTATCCAGTTCACTATACAGACTCATTTGTTCATAAATTGGATTGATCTGATTCTTGAGGTCAACTAACTGACTCAATTTTGAGTGAAAAGCTCACTTGAAGGTGGTGTCACTGAATAACATCTTGAATTTCCTCACACAAAGCTATTATACAGTTTCTATGTAAGAAAACTACAAACAAAAATTTTGAAATGTTGCCTTAACTGCAACAGGTTTAAGATGAAGTACTAAAATTACTAACTGAAATAAAACTAGAAATAAAAATATTTAATTATTTTACATAAAAAATTACTAAAAAATACATTTGAAATGAAAACTCAAAATATAAAAGCTAATTTGAAATATCAATAAAAATGATAATAGTACACAAATAACACTGATAGGAAGACATTAGAAGCCTATAATATCCAATGTGTGCTCACTAAATGGTTGAAAAAATGCAAATGAAATTTGATAGAGTGATTGAAAGAAGTGATTATAGCAGTTTTCTCTTATTTCCTTTTCTGTGAATACTTTGTCTCATTTTTATTTTTTGGTTATCACTAAAGCTCACTGGAATTCATTATAGATCATTAGATGTGACATTGCGGTGCCCTGGGAGACCTTCATATACAAAAACACATCACACAAAGCAATACACTAAAACTGCCTTCAGTTCTGGATGCAGCCACTGTGACCTACAGTCTGTGCCTAGCAATTAAATCTACAATTGCAATAAATGAGAGATGATATATAATTAGGCTCTTCTTTTCATGCAAAACTTCAAAAATGTAATAAGCAAAAACCGTTTGAGTAAGAACATTTTTCCAGCACCCTATTAAGCAACAGCTACATTATTTCCCTAGTAGCCCAGTAAGTCACCCAGATGTGTCTCTTTAATGTCTATGGAACTGAAACAAAGGTTAAATGTCACATATTTATATCTCAGTGATATAAGGAGTGAAAGTGGACCCAATTGTGAAGACGTATTTCTAAATTTGTGGCCTGGATAATGCACAGAAAAATGCTGAAGGGGCAATTAAAGGAAAAAGTGGGAAATTATAAGGTTATTTAACAAGTCTCTCACTGTATACTTTCTTACATTTACATTCATACTTTTGGCAGATCCTTGTATCCAAAGCAAATTCATTCAAGGTTTTTGCTTGCCTTAACATGCACCATTAAATACAATTTACACCTGGACTGAAGCTCAAGGAGCTCAAGCAATTATTAATATGCATAAGACTACTGAGAGAAGAATACGTACAGCTGATGGTGATGCCCAGCTCCACACCTGGCTTCTTTGGTAGCTTCACATGGAAGGTTCCACTGCTTGGGATAACTGATTCTGGATGAGACAAGGACAGAAATACAAAAAGGTCAATTTTTAGATGCAAGTCCATATCATCATTGTGGAGTTTTGATAATTCTGAACTTATAGACCATTGAGATTCAGGCAAATGACCAAACTGACACTTATTAAAGGGTAAGTTCATATCTAAATGATAGTTCTGTTATCATTTATTCACCCACACGCTGTTCCAAACCTCTATGGTGATCTTTTTTTTCGTGGAACACAAAATGAAATGTTTAGTAGAATGTCCAAGCAGTTTTTTTCCCATACAATGAACATGTGAGGACCATAGTGGTTTTCATGGCATGGAAAAGAGTAGCTTTTACCTGCTTTGTTTTCACATGCAAGAAAGAAAGCAGAGTAAATGGCAGCAGAACATTAGTTTTTTGGGTGAACCCTCTCTTTAAAGTGACAGCTGTTAAAAATTCAGTCTTTCTTTCAGGCAGAGATGTAGACAATCTTTCTGAAAGAAGCCCAGAAAGTTCAGTCTGGGATAGAGGGGAGGAAAAGAAAATCTCCATAAAATATGTCCTTCTCCTCTGGGCAGTGAGTCAGAATCAAAAAGAATGACAGAAGTGTCAGAGTGCTCAAAGAAAGAAAATGCATTGCTCTCCAGTGACCCGCCATTTCACATAACGACCTCTGCTCTTGAAATGATCATGCAGTAATTCAAGCCAACTCATTTCATCCAAATCAACAAAAGTGTCTTTTAAAACAAGCACTTGGTCTGAGCGATAAAGAATATTGCACAAGCAAAACATGGTAAAGCTGTTCTCCTTCCAGCGCTTCCTTTGTGATAAAACATTTACATTTTATTGGATTGCACAGAAAATTGACATTCAGTTTTCAAACTGACGCAGAATGGAAATAAGTGGGTTTTGCAATAATGGTACGTTCATGTAATTCCAAAAATATGACACATATAAGTTCCCAAATTGAATTAACTAGTGTGTTAGGGTTTACATAATTAACACCACTGTTCAAAAATTAGAGGTTTGTAAATTTTTAAAAATGTTTTTAAAAGAAATCTCATGCTCAACAACAAAGATTCAGTAATAAACTGTAATATTATGAAATATTATTACAATTCAAAATAACGTTTTTCTATTCGAATATATTCTAAAATTTAATTATTTCCTGTGATGGCAAAGCAGAATTTTCAGCATCGTTACATTACAGTTTTTAATTTAAAATGATCCTTCATTCAAATGAAATCATTGTAATATGCCAATTTGGTGCTCAAGAATAAATAATGAATAGAAAGTCTAAAAAGAACAGTATTTATGTCAAACATAATTTTTTTTTTCATTGGTTAATGGACAGGAGGCAGTCTGTGTGCTAGTGCCGGAAGGCTGTGACTACCCTTGAAGTCGTCAGAAACACAGTTTAAAAGATTCCTGATAAGCTAAATAAAAGAAACTAATTAAATATCAAACCAAATTAAACAAGACAAAACACTAGGATGACAAGCTAATTACGGCGTGTCTCAAGGACTACAGACGTTCCACGCGGCCCATACTGTGATTACGCTGCCAAAGCACAGCACGAGATGGAAAAATGAGAGAATGTGTGGTGGATTTTCAGATGAAAGTATATAAACTGTATTTTCATGCGGATGTCCATACGGAAATAGTACCTATTAAATCACGGGCCACGTGTCTTGCAGTACTAATCATTTCTATGCATCAAACACATTCCAGATGGTTGGGCTCTCAGAATTATGGCATAACTTTTAAAAAGAAAAAGAAAAAAACTCTAGGACAAACGCGGGATGTGGCCAGATGGATCTTTCATCCCCAAACAGGTTTGGAATTGATGAATCGGTTCATGTCCCCACCTGCTACGTCAAACTCAATCTCTAGTGTGACTTTGCTGGTGATACTGGAGTCCCTCAGCAGCTGATTGGTCTCCTCCAGCGTGCTGTCCTCAGTGGGGATGCCGTTTATTGACAGGATGCGGTCGCCAATCTGCAGGATGCCGCACCTGTGCACAGAGAGCAGATTTAGCACACCATTCCTCTTACACTGGCCAACAGACTAGCTGTGCTGAATGCATAAAATAAAAATAATGGACTGGCGTAGAGAGAGACAAAAAGAGGTGGTGGGACCCAGGAAATATCTCACACTGACCAGCCAACCACTTATATTATGCCACCTGGCGCCATTAAATAGACATTAGTGAGTGGATGTGACACTTTAGCCAAAAATACAAATGTCCTCTTAGCTCAAGGTCAGAGTAAAAGCACTTTTTAATAGCTGAGGGAACAAAAACTCTTTATTGAATTCCAAAATGGCTTTTGAGCCAAACAGAAGCAATATTGCTTTTGCTTTCACTGCTAAAAACACCAGCAAAGCTGGTCACCATAAGGCATATGCTGTGTTTTTGATGCTGGTATGCAGCGTGGGCTGCTAGCATCACCACCAACAAAAGTGTAAAGCATTAAAACGTGTCATATTGTGATTAGCCTCAAGAACCAATGGCATTTGGTGATTTTAGAGCTACACTGTAGGAAAAGATTTACACTTACACAAGTTGGCAGCATCTCATCGCTTGTTCCCCAACTCCGCTAGGTCTTTATCAAATCACCAACATTAGCAGGTTTATGTCCATCACTGCAATTACAACTTCAGCTGGCAGCGAGTCATCCCTGTTGCTTAGGTCAGTAATTACAGTGAAGTTAGGATGTAAATCCACATCAGTCGACGAGTAAGTTCATTTGGATGCCAGCTGAGGCTATGCTGCTCAGGTAATTATAGTTAAGTGCTTTGCTCTATTACGTAACGCCGTAGTCAATCACAGCCCAAGCAGGCTGGAAATCAGATCGTCACGGCCAAGCAGTTATATATCATGTGCGATCACATTATATCATGGACGAAGTTGTGGCTCAGCGGCGGACAAGTTCTAAGCGGCGAGAACGGTGCAGTAATGTAATAACTGTGGGCTTTGCGATGTGTTCAGATAATCAAAATTAGATTCAAGATTAAATATTCAAGATTCCCAAAGGGAAGTTCACACTTCTCTGATAACGCAAACAATTAAGCCGCACCGAGTGCTCCGATCTGAGGAGGGATATCTGGAATATTAAAACCCAGAGTTTTAACTAGGTCAAATGAGGCACTGGAGAAGCACTGGAGATTAATAAAAATCATGTTCGGAGATCTTACCGCTCTGCCGGGCTGTCAGGGTCTATGTAAGCGATGAGCGGCGGAGAGGACAGGGTTTCCGTGGCAAAGACTCCTCCCTGAAGCTGGATCCCAAAGCCCATGATGGAGTCGCTGATGAGGGTCACCTCTGTTGTTTCTGTGTGGACCACCTGACCAGCAAGTCCTACCGTACTTGAAGCCAGAGACACTAGAGGAATGAAAAACAGGACAACAGGGTCACAAACAGCAAAAGTTGATTTCTGGGGCCCAAAAGGACCCTCCCTCTTCATTTTTACTATATAGAAAAGAGCAGCTTGAACATCCTACTAAACTTCTCCTTTGGCCATCAGCATAAGGACAATAAAAAAATGTCACACAGGTTTGATAAATCAACCAGATTTTAGTGAACAATCCTTTTAAATGCTTCAAACAGCTCTTCTGTATGCATCTCAGAGCAACTTTTCCCAGAACAAAAGGCTGTCAGCCATGTGAGTATTTTCAGTGACTGAGCTGGATTTGTGCCCTCGCTGCAGATAAGAATTCAATATGCGCACTAGTATGTTTTGGGCCAACTATGTGCGCTTAGAAATAAGAAAGACACTGATATAGAGCTAGTGTATTATATCGCAAATCAGACCACATGGATTTGAGAAAACTCTTTCAGTAGATGGTACAAATTATGAGGTTGTTCGAACTTCCTTATCTTACGAGTCTGGATCTGGATTTTTTTTATTTCATTTATTTGAAGTTTTAGTAACTTTGTTAGGCCACTTTTTATTAGTTTGTTTATATATATTTCTATTTCAATTATAGTCTTAGTAATTTTAGTGTCAACTTAAACTTATAGCAGGTAAAATAAGTATTGAACACATCACCATTTTTCTCAGTAAATATATTTCTAAAGGTGCTGATGACTTGAAATTTTCACCAGATGTCGGTAACAACCCAAGTAATGCATACATACAAACAAAACAAAACAAATAAGTTCAGAAATTAAGGTCTGTGTAATGTCGGTGTATTCCCGCTGTATTTTATTTCAGCTGATTGCCAAGGCAACATTTCTAATTATCATTTAAGTTTTCTTTATAATTTTTTCCTTATCTTTATATTTTATTTTATTTTAGTGTTATTTCAATTAACAAAAAATGACTTTCACTGGTTTTATTTAACACTGCTATAACTAAGCTGATAATTATTTTTATGTTACAGCAGGTAACCAATAAATAGCCAAAATTAAAATTCTATTTTATTTTGTAAATTAAATTAAGTAAACTAAAAATAAAATAAAAAATAAACAGACACAAAGACACCATTATAATGTGCATTATGAAAAATGGATCTTAATTCTGACATTTGCTAGTGTTTTTAAAAGTGAACTTTCAAATACTATATCTAAATAAATATCTTATCTATATCTATTAGAAATTCAAACAAGCCTGTGAAAACAGATAAACCCTGTTGTTTTCACCGCACTGATTGAGAGCGTTTAAACCAGCTTACCGAAAAGCAGACAGGCACACAAGCATAACCAATGTGATTTATACACCGCGATGCACCCCATTTACAATTGTCTATATCAATAAAGTCTCATGGGATACATCTCAATTGCAAAGCATCAATTGCAAAAGCATTGTTACTGGGCGGCAAAAAGAGACAATTTTGCCCAAGTATACTGACATGTTTGTTCGCACTGTGTGCTTTCAAAGAGGCCAGTGAAAATGCGCTCTGGCACACGAACACCCGTCACACCCTTGACTGACCAAGCTTAAACTGTCATCCCAAGCACCAGGGAGCACAGACGACAGCCAAGAGGTCTCTTTCCCCATAGACATGGAAATCTGCCTCCAGGTTATCGACCGGCACCAAACCAGGCCTGCCGCATTTTTATAGAGCCTGTTATACTCGCCGGATCACTCTACTGTGACTGGAGAGTGAGTCTATCCAAGATTGATGATTCTGCTCACGGGCTAGATTTACCGCACCAGACACCTTTATTGTTTTAAATGCAGTGACCTTTCCTTTTTTATTGGGCGTGAGGGATGGGAAAGGGAGGTTAAGGTGACGCAGATGAGGACAGGATGCCTCTTGGATGCGCAAACGCTTTCAGGGATGGGTCTGCAGTGCACATCGATCAACAACCGTTTGGGACTCCTCTTGTCTGAAGCACTGAAAATGATACCGACTGGTCTTTTCGCGAATGGCTCAGGGGCCGCAGACTGTGAATTGACCCGACAGGGCTTTGTGTGCTTCGGAGTCTTGCTTCGCGAGGTGATTCGGTTAAGTGGTGTCTTCGGTTTGTGGTAGACTTCAAAGGCTCTGACGGACAAGGAAGCACCTGAGGGGTCATTGTCGACATCTCAAAGAATCGCCAGCCAGCTGACTCTCTCTAGCTCGTTCGCTTCCTCCTCCTCCTCCTTCCTGCGAGAAATCTTAATTTCTTCTTCCCACAGACCAGTGAGTCAGCAGTAACTCGAAATCCTTAGAATGAGTCAGAAGAGTTTTGAAACATCTTTTCTTCGGCAGAGAACAGATTTGGGCAGTTCTAGTAAAATTGGAAAACGCACCTTTGATCTCAAAGCCCTTGAGTTGCGTCATTGTTTCGGTCGGCAGGATCTGTTCTAAGCTCTCTCTCTCTATATATATATACATAGACTGCTGTTCTGGGGTCAGTAAGATATTTTTTTAAAGAAATTAATGTGTTTATTCAGCAAGGAAGCATTAAATTGATTACAAGTGACAGTAGTGAAGACATTTATAAAATACACTTTCAATTCCTCAAAGTATCACAGTTTCACAAAACCATTAAGCAGCACAACAGTTTCCAACATTGAGCATAAGAAGAAATATTTCTTGAGCATCAAATCAGAATATTAGACTGATTTCTGAAGGATCATGTGACACTGAAGACTGGAGTAATGGCTGATGGAAATTCAGGTTTAACATCACATTTTATATACACCACAATTAAATAACATTTAAAAAATTTTTTTAAAAAGTAATAATAAAAATTCTTACTAACATAAAACTTTTTATCAGTAATTTATGTATATAGCGTTTGGAATCCTGAAATATATTGACCTTTTCAATTAAAGAATACAACAATGAAATTGACAAAAACAAACCAAAATTGTAAGTAACTTATGAAGCATCAAGGAAATAATTATTATTTATAAACCTAAGAAAAAATATTTCCATAGTAAATGCATATTGGTCATTTTGAACAATTTACGAAAACTTGGGATAGTGACAAATTTTTTTTATTATTATTATTATTATTATTGTTAATAGTAGTAGTAGTAGTATATTTCGTGAACCAATGACTAACAAATACATACATTTCTGAGGCTCATACAGAAAATTTGAGAAATATACAAAATTATCAAAAAATATATTTTTCAGGTTATTTTGAACTAGGAATGTAGCGATTAACCGGTTTCGCGATTAACCGCGCTTTAAAACGTCACGGTTAATTAATCGTAAAGGTTCCACTAAACCGAGTGTTTCTGTTACACGGAACGGAGCTGTTGCAGCTTGCGCAAAACGAAAACAAAGTTACACTAGCGGTGCACCAGCTTAAAATGACGTGCTTATCAGAGGCACGGAGGCTACTACATGCGTTAGATTAACTGTGACAGAGGAACCAAACAGCGAAGCTTCATTTCCACCAGAGAAATGCCTGTCGAGAGTGTGGGACCATTTTGGGTTCACCAAGAATGACCAGGGTGTCGTTTAAATATTGCTGTAAAAAAACTGCTGCTAAAGAGCGAATACATAAGGGATAATGCACGGCTAGCTGTACATTGAACGATTTTAATGCACGACGTGAATGCAAGAACCACGCAAAGCTACAGCTCGTTATAGCTCAGCATTCTGCCCGCTTCAGATCAGAAAGAGATGAAAAAGTGCGGTAAGATCACATTTATTTTAATTAATTAATTATAACATTTAGCTACTTTAATTAATTATTCGAGAGAGAGAGAGGTGACAGTTGCCTGTGTGAATTAGCCTACCTGTATCTGTGCGTCTCTCCTGTAGGCTATTAATCTATTTTATTAATAAAAGTCACGGGGCAGCATTTAAAAAAAAATGTAAAGAATGTACAAACTGAAAACATTAAATACTTTTGCGATCTATTTCCATTTGTTATTTTCAAAAGAGAAATACTGTCATGGATGTTTACAGAGCAGAGGTCACCTTTTTTAAATGGACTTTAATGGGAGAGATGGACTTTTGTTTGTCTTTTTTTATTATTATTTTGTGCTGTATTGTTGGTTACTGTGTTATTTCTGTTTCAAAAGCCAGCAATAAATAACACTTTAATATCTAAAGAGTGTTCATGTGATTTTATACATTAGTAATGTTGGGAAATGAATAAATGCATAATAATCGTAAAACCGTGATTATTCCTCAGACAATAATCGTACCAACAAAATCTATAATCGTTGTATCCCTATTTTGAACCCCTTTGTGCATTCTAGGGTTAAAATCATGCTTATGTGACATCTCTGTGTGAATACTTTTCATGCAGAGCTCAAAGAGTTGCATGAGTTGTGTGTGTTGAAACCCTGAGTTACATAAAAGGAACTTGGGAAGAAGAGTCTCTCGAAATAGTGTATGCCGTAGCCTGACCTGTGTCTTGCAGAAGATACCAGGAACCTTAATATCCTCAACACTGTCCTTTAGTATTTAATCCTTTAATCATATTTTCCACTAGCAGAACGTATTAGCACCTCAACTGACAACAGCATGTAAACCATAAACGAGGACTGTAGGCATTAGCCAACAATTAAATTATGCTAATATTCTCCTGGTGAGAAGACACGGTGCTAGTTCGGTCACAGTATATTAAACGCAGAGCGGTTTGTTCCGGACCACAGAAACGCAGAGGGGAACTTTAAAATTAGCATGACACCACCTCCAACAGAGAAAAACAAGATATAGAAAAGGCATCAGTGAAAGCTTTTTAGAGTATCCCCAGCAGGAGAAGAGGAGACAACAGACTGAATGTGTCTGTTTATGGGGCGTGTGGACAAGACAGATAGTTTCCCCTCACATTCACCGCTTCATTGACTCTGTGTTTGATCTTGCAGTAGACATTTTCCACAAATGGGGAACAAAATTTTCTTCAAAAAACCCTTTTTCAACAAACAGTCAGTGATAGGAGGTGCTTAACCTTGAAAAAATATTGACTGTGAACCTCAGGAGGTC